GTTCAAAGGCGTTTGCCTATATTTCCTTGAATAAACTTGACTTGACTTGACTTGATTGTGTTGGAAATGTCCTCACCCTTGAAAGGTAAGGATATCATGACGGGCTTTGTTGGAGCTGACTGTTCCAAAAATTTTGGCCTTAGGGGATTGCTATACTTTTGAATAAATCGTGCTGGGTAGCCACAAATGAGTAAGGCTGAGTTGATGCGCGAAAGCTCTTCAGGTAGGGTCTAACAAGAGCAAGTGTTCGTTTCTCGCTGAAAGAGGGTGTGTACCAGATTAAGCTTTCACTGGTATTGCCCCTTCCAGGTCTTTTTGTGGAAATCCAAGCACCCTATGGAATCATCATCCTCTCTAAACATGAGGACGTCTCGGAAAGGGAGCATGCTATGCTGCTCTGTTTCCATTCACAATTTAATTTTAGGATGTAGAGTATTCATAAATTTGAGGAGGTCATCGGCACTTTCATTGGAATCAACAATTGTGAATATGTCATCCACATACCTTCTGTATAAGATTGTCTTGTTAAGTCTTGAAGACGCTTTTTCTTCTAGATGACCCATAAAAACATCCGCAAATGTGGGCCCTAGTGGACTGCCCATTACGAATCCGTCAATTTGTCTGTAAAGTTGTCCATTAAATAGAAATTGGACATTTTTTGGTGCAGAGTAACAGTAATTGGCGCAGTATTGCAGGCGACAGGCGAGTTTCTGACGCATGGGCACAAATAATGTCTATTGTCTCGTCCAACGGTACATATGAAAATAGTGATTCGACGTCTAGTGAAATCATCAATTTATCAGTAACGTTTTGGATCATGATGTCCTCGATAAAATGGAAAGTGTCCCTCGTAGTGTACGTGGAGAACCGTTCTCGAATGGGCTTAAGTTCCTTTACAAGCTATTGTGCTAATCTATGTTAAGAGGAATTGGATATAGCGAGATATATCGTAAAGGTGTATCCAGTTTGTGAGTTTTATGGGGTCCGCACAGTCTAGGGATATGCGTACCTCTGGGCTTTAGGGATATCGCAGTTAAGGATTCAGTTAGGTTTTCCTCTGCCAATTGTTTAATCATTTTCCAGGCAGAGTTGTCCATTGCCTTAGTTTCCTCTTAGCCGGACGTCTCTATGCGAAATTTGCTCTGATCGCTTAAAATGGATTCCATTCTTCTTACATAGTCCTTCCGGTTAAGGATAAACAATCCATGGCCTTTATCGGGTTTGAAAATGGTGATTTGTTCATTATGTTTAAGTGCAGAAAGAACAGCCATGCGTTATTTAGTCAGTGGTGTCAGTTGTGTTACTGGACCTTTGCGGTACTGATGCGCAAGGTCTACAAACTTTGCCTTCACCCAGTTCACATCACCAGTGGATCGGGGTAATAGAGGCGCTTACGCTGTACGATAGACAGGACCTACAACGCAGCGAATCTAGTCTTATTAAGTTCAACTAAAAGCATTTCAGTAAAATGGGCAAAGAATGTTTTGCCATTGCACGCCACCTCAAACTGTGTTAACGATTTCACATGTATTTGCGGATTCATGTATATTGGGCGTAATCAATGGCAACTGGCAGCCAGGGCTGCTGAGCACTTGCCCAACTGGCTTTTGAAGCAAGAAGACAGAATACCACGGTCCTCTATTACCAAGCATCTATTAGACAGTGGTCATTCTGTCGACGTCAAAGAGCGTTTCGAGTACTTGTTCTGACCCGAACAAACTGAACCCTGCGCAATTTGGAAGCTGCAGACATACGGTGGAAGAAACCTGACTTATGCAAGCAGCTTGACCGTGTCGTCAACCCGGTGATTGGTCATTTAATTTA